GGATTCGAACCCTTTTGAGGCTTAGAGCGATTCGGCCCATTTGATGGTGATAAATCCGAGCTCACCAATCTTAGACTTGCGATAAATTCGGGCCCACCAACCTTGGACTATTGGATCTAATTAATTTGGTGGGCTCAAATTAGCTCCTCTTACACAGAGGAAACTTGTTAGTTTGATGATACGAGTGCGATAGACAAATTTGAGGAGGACTATCTTGCAATGTTGCTTGAGCTTTTTTACCAGCCACAACCACAACAACAAGCTACTTAATTGAACTTTGAGATGGACAATGTTTCAACGTTGATGGAGCCTCGTTACCAACCACAACCGCAACAACAAGATACTCAACTGAATTTTGAGATGGACAACCTTCCAATGTTGCTTGAGCCTTGTTACCAGTACCAATTTGGCATTTTCTGATATGTTGGGAGACTTCATACACTTTTGTTGTTTTAGATTTATGGGTAAGCTTTATAATTATACTAGGAATTTAGGAAAGTATTGTGGAATATCAGCATATTCATAGCTGTATTTTATTTGAACTTTACATTTTTGTCATTAGCTATGTAACTTTTTCCAGGAATTTCCACACAAAAAATTGGTGAATGTATAGAGGTCTGTCTCAGTTTTGTCTTGCTAGGAGTCTAGCATACCATGATGACATGGACCTATACATATATCTATATAAGATTTATATACAGCTAACTTTTACAAATCATTTAAAGGTCATGAATCATGAATATTGTATGATAAAAACAATGGGAAGATGATTCTCTACTGTCCTTGTTGAATTGGAAAGTGTTGTTGAATTTTTATAGGCTCATTATGGAGTCTACGTCGATAATTCGAACCGTTCAATGTAGGGTTGTTAATGGATCGGATTTAATCCGAATCCAACCCGAATTTGATCCGATAATCCGAATCCATTTACAAAAAATCTGATCCAATAATCTAAATCCGTTTAATCCATTTATTAAACGGATTGGATATGTAAAAATTCGATCCGACCCGATAATCCGATAATCCGATCTGATTATTCTTAATTTGAATAAAAAAACACACAAAATGAAGAAAAAAAATCAAATTATATAAAATTGTTGCTCAATAAATAAATAAAATGGATCGGATCGGATTATCGGATCAGATATCCGAAATCATCGGATTCATATTCGGATATCTATAATCGGATATAGACTAAACGGATTCGGATCGGATTCGGATTTTGACAGATCCGATCCGAATCCGATCCATTTACAGGCCTAGTTCAATGTATAGGCCTTGTCGAGTATGTCATTCTTGCAAAAAATCACATTGATTGAAAATCGATAACCACTTGATTAGATCACACTTGTGTCAACGGTAAATGTCCAATGATAAGTGTAATTTTTTTTAATTTAAAATAATTACTATAAATTTATATTCTCATTTCATAATCATTAAATATGTAATGAAAATCCTCAATTAATTACATAAAATGGAGACGATCAAAGTCCGTAAAAGTCTAGTATCCTTAGCACTTTTCAATTAATGTAATCCAATTTAAAGGTACTAAGATTATCCACTCTTTTTTTCTTCTTCTTTTTTTTTTTTTTTTTGGTGTGCTGCAATGTGTTATAATTTTATTGTGGTGATCTAACTGTCAATATTTTATTTTATTTACGGTCATTTGAAAATGTATAATTTGAAAATTATCTTATTTTAATTTTAAACTTAGCCTTTTATTGATGTGTTGTGAAAAAAATTGTAGTAAGATTATTGACGTGTTATGTTTAAAGTAATTTCGTTTCTTAATCCCAATAACAAATATGGCAATCCGCTTTACATTAAATTGAGTTGCTAGTATGATTACATGGAACCCTTAATAATGTTTTTGATTAGTAAAATAGAATTTCTTATCAAATGTTCATATTAATTATTTGACAGTCACAGCTGGAAATTAGGTTTTTAGCGACGTTTTAGGTACTAAAACGCTGCTAATTCTTCTTGTGACGTTTACTACCAAACACCAACATTGCGGCCGTCGCTATAGGTTTATGGCATTTAAAAACGTCGCTGTATTAGTATGTAAAAACGCCGCCAAAAACGCCGCCAAAAGTCCTACCCTAACAATACTATGACGTCACTATAGTTTTAACGACGTTTTTAAAATGCCGTCATACGTTTTTTTAATTTTAAAAATTTCAACCGTTATAGTGGCGTTTTAAAAACGCCGCCTTATATTTTTTTCTTTTTTTTTTGAAACTGTGCTAATTTTATGTGATTAAACTAAAAGAACACCTGCAATAAAACTAAATAGCACTAATATGAAATAATAACTCCCATTCAAATAGAAAATATAGCATTAATTCACTTTCCCATTCAATTTAATATCCAATCACTATTACTCACAAAATAACATATTTAAAAATTGAATTCACAATTTTCATTAATGTAACACTATTTCATTAACCACTGTAACACTATTTCTAAGATGCACCTGCCAACAAACCTTGAAATAGAACACTATTTCATTAATGTAACACTATTTCAACCTTGAAACAAGTGTACCTCCAATGTAACACTATTTCTTTTTCTACACATAATGTAACACTATTTCATTAACCACTGTAAGGAAACCTTAAAATAGGCCAATCCAGTCCCTTGTTGGGTTGTAACGCCCTTGAAATAATAACATAAAACCCATCAATATAAACATGCATTGATTTACAAAAGTTCCACATTCTTCCATTAATCAGAGTTTCATTACAAAAAGTATTATATGTTAACAATAAAAGCAAATGCCCTAGAGGCTTACAGTTTTCCAAGTTAACACTTGGTTACAACAAAAGAGTGCTAACTCATTTACACATTAAGCCCTTGGCTTGAATATACATGTAATACATCAAAAATAAGACAACAAAAGTGTGTCCGCCTCTAGCCTCCCAAGCTACGTCCTTGGAGGTGGCATGCTACCTGTACCTGAAAATGATATTCCCATATAGGGTGAGCCACAGCCCAGTAGAAAATACACTAAACAAAATATGAACATGACTAAAAAGATTAGCAATTGATGATGGCCAACACAGATACTTCCCTTATCACACTTTACGGTTTCATGACATACAAGTCCATATTACAGTCCATTTTTCCAATTTCTTTTAAATTCTCAATTACAACCATGCTCAGAACCTGGCCAAACAACCTATATGAGATGGTGACTCATATCAAACATTCCCATTCATAATAGTAAGCATACTAGCTATATCACACAACAAATAGAAAGCATACAAGCTATATCATACAACAATAGATAAGCATACAAGCTATATCATCACTTCCACGATATGCATATGAGCACTATACACTTCCAATGACAAGCATATGAGCTCTGCCAACACATTAATAGATAAGCATATGAGCTCTATCTATGGAGTCCATCCCCTATCTCCTCCCAACACATCCGTTAGAGGTCCATCCCCTATCTTCCCTAAAACCGTGGTACATCCCCTATCTCCTCCAACACAACACAATGCATATAACAACAATTATAACATCATCAACACAATACACAAATTTAATGTATTCTTTCAATCGTCAATCTCAATGACACATTCCAGTGATTAGTTCAGTTTGCCTAATCAATGCATTGTCTACAACAATACAGACTATCCTCCACGATGCCCAAAGCAGTTATTTCTATACAGAAAATAAATGCAACAATGGATATATAATCAACATTTCAACTAGGTGAGCGATAAATAATCCAACTACACCCTTTAACCCCTTCCCTTTCCAATCTCCACATTCTCATTCAATTCCTCTATTCAACAATTATTATCAATTAATCAATCAATGTAATTAGGGCATTTTTCAAATATAACATTACAACCCCTTAGTTCTCATTTTCAATGTTTAAATTAATTCACTTTTTCATGCCAAACATGCATCTAGGCTTTATTTAGCTAAAACCAACCTTTGTATAATACACAAAAGCCAAATTTTACAAATACAACAACCCCAACATCTCAAAATACTAAAATTTAAAGACAAAGCTCATAGTAAGGAGTAGGTTATCCCTACCTCAAAGTTTGAGCTCCAATGGAGATGAAGACCAAAACCAAAATGCTCCAAATTTCGAAATTTTCAGATTAAAATGTAGCCCTCGACGATCAACACAACTTTCATAAAGACCAAAAGTGAGCAAACAACCCCGACTAGATCAAATCTAAGAGAGAAGGGCCGGTTTTAGAGTGAGAAGCTATGAAAATGGCTTTTTGAAAAAGTAAGAGAGAAAAGATCTTGAAAAAGTGATCCAAAAGTCGGATCTCGGATTTATATAAAAGTCGCCCCGCTCGAGCGTCAAACTCCCCGCTCGAGCGGCACTCACAGACTCCTACTCGAGCGTCAACAATCCCGCTCGAGCGGCGGATGCACACTCCCAGAACTTTTACAGAACTAGGTCTCCGCTCGAGCGTCAACTCTCCCGCTCGAGCGTCACACACAGCACCCCGCTCGAGCGTCAAAACTCCCGCTCGAGCGTACAACACTGCAGAGGAGTTACTGGAAGATGGAAAACTACGCTCGAGCGTTGTAAACCCCGCTCGAGCGGACAGACAACAACGAAGGGCCCGCTCGAGCGTCAAAATCCTCGCTCGAGCGTGAAGGCCAAAATCTGGGCAACTACTCTTGGTTTCCAAGTTCAACCAACCTGTTACAAACCTGTCCAACACATCCTATAACTCAAATACAAAGTAAGAAAGGATGTACACAAGGTAATAATCAATTACTATCATCCACGGACACATGTCCGGATCACTGTACAATGAGGGTAAACTCGGGATCGCTATATGGGTCATTCATTCTGTTCATGAATTGAAACAAGAATACAAAGACGAAGCAAACAGAAACAACAGATTGACAATTAATCCTTGTTTAAGAAAACACAACAAAACTAGTGATGATTAATGTTCTTCAAAGATGTCTTAGATAAACATATAAAACTATATAAACACACATATGTACTCTATAGTCATCATGTACATATCCTTGTTTGGCTCCTTTGCTGGATCTTCCAGGATGTCTCCCTTCATCGCCATACCACGACATGCACACGCGCGTAAGAGAGACAGAAATTAATTTATGAAGAGTTATAACGATATGTAGGATCTTAAATTCATCTTCTAAGGGAACAATTCTAAAAAGCTCAAATTAACTAGTCCCAGAAGTTTGACTAGGAAACGCATAGTAGACATCAAGCACTTGTATTACAGAACCCAACCAAGAAGTTGAAAATTAAGCATATAATTCCAGATTATAAAAGACGAAGTTGATCATGCTGACACATCAATTTGAATACCTTTTTATATTTTTAATTTAAAATAAGACTCGATAAACTCAAATTTGTTTCCCTTCATTTACAATTCCAAATGAAGTCGTTTTAAAGGTTATAAACTGCACACTATTGACAATAGAAAATTAAGAGATTCATAGTGACAATCAAGAAGCATAAAGCCACAATCAGTCTTAGCACATGTCCAATATCATAATAATGAGAAGGTCAACTTCCAAGCCTACTAGTACTGACCAATATCTAATTGCCATTTTTGTTGGATAGCAAAAGAACAGCTTTTGTCTATTGTAGTCGAGTCGAGTGCAAGTGCTTCTCGTAACATGATGTCTCTACGTATATCATATGTTCCACTTAGTTATATGTATATATATATATATATATATAAAAAAAAGATCTAGTAAAATGCCAAGGGGAAATTAATGGGATTGACTATATTTTTTATGCACTTGATTAACTATACAGAGTAATGAAACCCATCTCCTTCAGTAATGCCTCTCTGTTCTCCAAATAATATTAGGACTGGAAACAAAGTACAAAATATGCAGATCAATTTAACTTTGTGGCAACAGTCACTATAGCAGGCATCAAAATATGTTCTCAATTGGCCCAGTGCAAACACAAGCTTCTGGAAATTGTAATGGAAGTTGGAGAAGCATACCAGATCGGCAACATTGCCAACACATTCTCCCTTCGCAGTAACATCCCCAATGTTTTCACCTTTGGCAAAGGCTTCGTATATTGGAGTGCGAGTCGAGGTTGATGTGACAGCACCAACATTCTGCAAGTGAAACAATATAAAAGTAAAGCAATAAAGCAAATTCATCACATAGATTAGCCAGAATTTATAAAATGGGAAGAAAATGAGAAACAGAAAAGGGTTGAACCTTGGCCACATTGGTAGCACAAGCTAAAGGCAGAAAAAGGTGCGGCACAGCTGTAGTTGCCAACTCTACCCCAGCACCCAACTCCATTTGAAAAAAAAATAAGGAGGAACAAATTTCTATGATGCCAAAGACTATGCCATAACCTCTTTTATATTAATAGAATGAATGAAAATTAATCGACTTAGGAATTTAAACATGGATAGATTTTTTTCTTTTCCTTAATGTAAGAGTGGATTAAGCAGTTATAAATCATTACACATGTACACACATTGAGGCATGCGATGCCGATACCAGATGACATTCTGGCTGAACCAGTTGGTCATTAGGCCTTGGGCACCTTAGCTCGTGAAATGGCCAGAGCATTGAGGGAATCTATGGACATTCTCCGAGCTGAGAATCAAGTCCAGGCCCAAGTAGCTGAAGCAGGGCCATCTTTTCTTAAAAGGGAGTTCTTCCAGTCGAATCCGGATGAGTTTGTGGGTGATCCCAGGGAGCCACTGAAGGCAGATGAGTGGCTAGAATAGTTGGTGAAGACATTCGAGATGCTGGGCATCGAGGATAATCAGTTGAAAGTGACCTTGGCGTCTTTCCAGTTGAAGGGGATTATGGGTCAATGGTGGAAGTATGCGTATAGGCGTATTGGAGGAACTTGGGAGCCTTTTGTTGAGGCTTTCTAGGATAAGTTTCTACCTCCCACGGTTAGGGAGAAGTTGAGAGATCAATTCTCTAAATTGTTACAGTTGAACACACCAGTGGCTGAGTTTGAGGTAACCTTTACTAGTCTATCGAGGTTTGCACCTAAGTTAGTGGTGACTGAGGAGCACCGCTGTTTGGAGTTTGAAAAGAGGTTAAGGACCGGGTTAATGTATAGAGTTTCCGGTTCCATGACTAGAGATTTTGGGTGCCTTGTGCAGGCTGCAACCCACCTTGAAACTATTATGCAGGCAGAAGAGGAAAGGATGAGGGGCTCCAAGAGGAGTCAGGATAGTCAGGGGGACAGTAAAAGGCAGAGGGGTTTTAACTCTCAACAGTCCCAGGGGTTTTAATCGAGGTCCACTTTTCCAATACCGAGTTCAGGTTTTGGGAGAGGTGGACAGGGAGATTTTACTTGCTATAAGTGTGGTTAGTTGGGCCACAAGTCTCCAGCTTATCCTCAGAGAAGAGGCGGACAGCGTGCAGTATCATATTTAGCTTGTTTTTAGAGCCAGATTCAGGGAAGAGGCCAGCCACTCACTTGTTATCAATGCGGGCAGGCGGGGCACCTGAAAAGGTTTTTCCCACAGTTAGGTGGTACACCTAGTGCGTCTGGTTCAAGACAGACACAAAGTTACCAGCCAGCACAGTCAGCACAGGCGTCGAGGGCCAATCAGGGAGTCTCTTCAGCTCAGTCAGCGCATCAGGCTTATGCTCCGAGGGGTGAGCAGGATGAGCAGAGGCCTTTGTTTTGAGCTTTGTTTGCCCTTTTGACCACTGAAATCTAGCAGATTTTCAATGGTTATTATGTGTTTTTGAGAGCCAAAATCAGAGAGGGGTGACCCTCTCTCTCATTGTTTTGATTTCTAGCATATTTGGCCTAACAAAGGAGCCCTCATTTGCACACCTCTAAGCCTTATTTCAGGCCCTTTTCAGTGACTTCTAGGGCCTGCATAGGCTCTGTCCAGAGTTGGTTTTGTCACCTTGTGTGTGTCTCTTGCATGTGTAGAATAACCCCTCTTATAGCCTATCAAAGGAGCATATCATTCTTGCATGCATTGATCATGTTTCAGTGGGTTTTGGGGCTTTATTTGGCATGTCATACCTCTTAATTTTTCTGGTTTAGTGACCTCTTGAATGCTTTATATACTTGTAGTGTAAACCCTCTTCACTAGCTTGTATTGCATACTATTTTGGTCTTTGATTCTAGCACTTTTTGGCCATGCCTTAAACTAATTTTGTGCATTTTTTGGACTGCCTTAGCTCTGTTTTTATGCCTTATGGTCGAATGATGCTTACTATGCATGGTTGTAGTGTAATACCCTTGCCTACCCTTGAGTTTTGAAGCCTATTGCATGCTTATACTGAGGTGTTTTCATGTTTTAAGGCCATTGAGCATGTCATTTCAGAGCCTATACTTGTGCCATATTCCCATGTTTTCCATTCTTTAAACGTGTTTGAGAGTTGTGCATGAATACCTCATTTATGGACCATTGCATGAGCTTCATTTCTATGCATTTCGAGCCATCATTTTAGACCATTTTCCCACTTTCTTGGACCTGCATAGGGACTATTTGGAGCTGGTTGGGTCATTTGAGCATTGCTTTGTGTACCTCTAGTGCAATGCACTTCACTAGTTTCGGTATCCGGGCCATGTAGCATGCATTGTGTGAGGTGTTTACATGATTCGGGACCATCTTGAATGTCATTTCAGAGCTAGAAAATGTGTGATTGTATGCCATATTTCATCCCTTGCCATGCTTTGGTAGAGTTGCATTTGGTGCCTTAGGTTTGGTCCCTTGCATTTGTGCATGTTTGCATGTGTGTTGTTGCTTCATTTTCATCATGTTTGGCCACTGATTTTGGTGTGGCCGAGGCCCATCCATCTTGGTTTAAGTCCATCTTGCATTTTGTATGCCATATAATCCATGTTGTTGCATGTTCGATCATTGCATTAAGTATGCCTTGTTCGTAACATCGCGTATGTTAGTGCATTGTGTATGCATGCCATATAATCCATGTGCATTGAGTATGCCATTGATTAGGTCATAGCATTATGTATGCCATTTGCGTGCTTACATGCCATCCTTTGCATGTTTACATCACTTAGTCACATTACATTTAAGATTGCATACTAGAGTTGCATTTTGTACATGCCATGCCATTCTATTTGTTGCATTGTGTTTGGAGTAGGGTTTAGTCCAAACACGGGAAATGAGGAATGTTTCATACTCACAGTGATCAAACGTGACTCAATTCCCGGTCACCGACACTCTTGACCATCCATGATGGAGTTATTGGTTTTAGTTGTTTATATGTGCATTCATGTCCCATTGAGTCGTGTAATCTGACTCCTTGGCCATCATGCATCGAGATGCGTGATTGGTGGCACGAGAATCGAGTACTACACTCCCAAGAGCTTGTGCAATGATGGGGAGAGTGGTCATGCACACATATGTTAAAAATACTTTGCCATGCCCCTTTCTCGCTCTCTGTTGCAGCAAACCGGAAACCAGCAGCAAAAACTGGTCGGTAGTATCCCTACAGCATGGTGGAGTTTCAGCCTTCTGGAGTTTTGTTTAGTGTTCTGGAACCAGTTGCAAACAGAGGCAAATCGGGGCATCGCAATAGATTTTCCGACAAGGCGACTCGAGCATGCATGCATTCCTTGTCATTCAAGACCGAGCTGAGGCAGTCCATTTCATATGTTTTGCATGCTAGCTTATTTATTTTAGTTAATTTGTTAATTAATTAGGGTTGTGTAATAATTAGCTGTAATTCGTTATTCATTCGGTTGTGTATTATTTATTCAGACCCTCCGCGGAGGGCAATGTTGTAATAAGTGTGCGTGTGTGTGATGCATGTCTTCCAGCCCCACGTCTTTCTCCCTTTTATTTACCAGCTTATGATGGTTAGTTTTAGGGCATGTTTCAATTAGCATCCTTATGCTCGCATGATTGCATCCATTCATTTGTTTTGCATGCACCAGGCTCGGCTCATCATACTAACTGCATTGTATTTCAATTCCAAGTTGAATACGTGTATCAGTTGTTCCAATTCATATGCCATTTTAGAATAGCCGAGCCTATCTTAGTTGCATTTTTGCATGTGTTGCATTAAGCATTTCAGCATAGTTAGAATTCATGCATGTTCTAATTAGCTTCTTTCTTTGGCTTGGAGTACTCGGTAAGTATATATGCTTTAGCATCCTTGCATGCATGTGAGTGACTGCCATGATAGCATGCTTACCATGAGGCTATTTGCGTATGTGATATAACTGCCTGAATGCCTGTGGGTGAAGGTTGGGTTATTTGAATTAGAATAATTCACCAATTAAGAGTTTTAAGCCCACTTGAGAGTGGCAAAATCATGTTTTCTTAAGCCCACTTGAGGGTGGCAAATCCACGTCTTAGCCTACTTGCGAGTAGCACCATCAAACCATCTTTCAAATAAACAAACATGAAATGTTTTGTTCCAACTCAAATGATCCAGTCTATACCTGTATGTTGTGTGCATCACATAATAATTCTAGGCTAATAACCGGAATAAGAGCACATAATGTTTTCAAAACTCGATATCATGGTTAGTAGAGGCCGATCTTTGATCGGGCGAGCGGGGGTGCTCACGAAGTGACCTTCCCTAGTCGTACCCAAGTTTCCAAGCCGAGGCAACTTTGGTGATGATGGACACATAGCCTTAGGCACGAGTCAGGGTTTCCTAAATTCCCCCAAAATAAAATATTTAGGTGGTGACTCTCTATCTAGCAAAGCAGTCCATGTTTGGTACTTCTTTCTAAAAATCAGTTTTTCAAAATGATTTGCCGGATTTGGACTCTTTGATGATTCATCGGTCTTGCATTGCACTCTGCGAGATTAGATACTGGACCGTGACATTGAGTCTGAACTGTAGTAAGCCCAAATGAACAAAACGGGATTTCCTCCCGGGACGTTCGGGGACGTCTACAATTTCTGGCGACTCTGCTGGGGAGTTAGAGGACATGACTCGAACTCATGATATCTTGTTTTGATTACACTTACGTGTTTCTTTGCATTGCATTTGCATTGGTGCGCCTAGGACACCGTGTTTGCCATCTGCTATTCCTGAACGGTTTGCCGGAGGCTGCGTGCCATAAGGCTGACCGGTTACGGGCTCTGCCACGATGGGAACACAAACCCCGGTTTTTACTGGGGCACCATTTTTTACCATTCGACCTAGTGCATATTCAGAATTCATAGTGACCATTCCAAGCTAAGACAGGTTGCTTACTCGATTATAGGTTGTTTGAAACCGCTGTGTGCATAGTAAAATTCTAGCTCCTGACAAAATAGGACAGGGAAACCCTATCCCAACATAGCGTTGTTTTGGCTCTCACTTGCTT